TCTAACAGCACTATGACAGCTGAACAAGCTAAAGACAATTCTTACTTCAGTCTTCAAAAGCCTCCTCTCCACTAAAAATGCTTCAGGGAAGGAGCCAAGGGGGGAGAAGCAAGTCTCACCACTACTAACGAAGCTGCAGCCAAACAAGAGTCTGGGAGTGGGGAGCGCCAGGGCAGACTGCTTGCTGGCTAGAGGTCTTTTCAGCAGCCCCTGTAATCCTGCAGACAATGCTGAGAAGGGTATTAGCAGCTCATGGGCTGTTTCTGCTGGGCTTCTGTCCTGGCAAGTTGAACCAGATGGAGAAGCACACAGCACTCTGCTAAAAGCTTCTCCAGAGGCAAAAGGCTCTTCTCCTACCAACTTGGTTTGGCAGTCCATGCTTTTATTGTACGAGCTGCCTCCAAACCGCAACACCGTTTACAGTGCAGACGTGATGGTGACAGTGCTACCCGAGTCTCCCAAACAGAACAGGAAAATATGAAGCAGACAAAAATTAAGAGAACTGGTAAAAATATGCTGCAAGCCGACTTTCACACATGCTGTACAAGATTAAAACTTAAAAGGGTTGCACTCACAGTCCCTGCTATATCAGCAAAGGAGACTGGAACATTATTATCCACTGCACACACTGCAGGACAGAATTTATACCCATATGAAAATTACTATATGCTGCCAGTATAATGGAAAAACACTCTCAGAAATCCAACACCAAATCTCAATTTGCTGGTGTTGTGCAGTAGAACACCAGTATTTGTGCACTGGGAAAATGGGCAGACTGCGAAAAGGAAAAGAAAGACTAGGAGTGTATATTAAAAAGTGACCTGTCTTGAGCACGTTGACAAGAGGAAGCTGAACCAAGAGGCCCCAGCAGAAGGCAAATTTCAAACAGTATGTGCCTTAGTTCCCATATAAAAGATTGGGAAACGGTGCTGTTACCAAGGAGCAGAGTGCTCTTCCTCTTCCTCTTCCTCATTACTGATTAGAAACCTTTCCAGTAATTTCTGACTTACCAACAGAACTTAAATTTTAATATTGAAATCTGAAATTTATTTTTAACTCCTATACTGCATTGTAAATACTCAAATTTCAAGAGTATGCAGATGATGTTTTTACTGGGAACACATACTCTAAATCACATAAGCAAAATCACCTGCTGCTTTCAAGAAGTATTTTCATTCTGTGGCATTTTCATAAACTGATGACAAAGTCACCTATAATTTTTGATGAGGTTCTCCGATCACGTTCACTTGCTTTAATTGAACCACACAAAGCTATTTTCACGTGTACTTTCAAAGACATGTTTATTTCTCTGGCTACTAGAATCTGACATTTGTTTCAGCTAAGCGAAAGCCAATAAACATTCCAGGGAAAAAATTAATGAAGTTGTAAGAGTCTGTATTTTAAACATACTGGGGAGAAACCCTTCTATCCCCAAAACTATAGATTTCATTAGATATATTTCCTCACAGAAGAGAAAGATCTGGTTTAAATACCTGTCTTCAGATTATGTTTTCTCAGGCTGAAAGTAGCGTGTGACTTGGTAGTATGTTTGATCTACTTATAATGAAAAGCAGCAGTGGCACAGTAATGGCACAAGCCATCTGCCAGGGGTACAGATGGAGGGGCTGGACATGGCTGGGACACTTACCTGGCAGTGCTTTCAATGGCAGGCACTGCTGCTGGGCTGAAACCAGCTCAGGAACTACTGCCTGTGGGCATTCACTCTCCACGGCCACACAGAATGAAGTCTTACTCAGGAGGAGGGCAAAATGGGGTGACATTTTCATACCTGTCTTCCCCTGTCCATCCGATCCTCGGGTCTCTGTGGATACACCATGGGGCCACCCAGCCCCTGGTATTGACCGGGGGGGTATTGGTTCTGGGTTTGCAGCATGCGATTCCAGGCAAGCAGAGGAGCAGCCCCAGCAGCTCTGCAGACAGAAGAAAAACACTGCAGCATGAACTGAGCTCCCAGAGATCCACAGCTCAAAATCTACAGAACCAGGTACTACCACCGGCAGCAAATTCAGTTTTACAGACCAGAGACTTTTCAACTTCCTTGGAAGGATTCGATTCAACTTTTATTTTAGAGGCAAATTTGCCAATCCATCCACAGTGATCTTGAACGTAGATTAAACCCCAGATATCACCAAGTTAGCTAAATGTAACACACCATGCAAAGAGTAAACATGTGTGGTACAGGAGAATGAGGCTTTCTTCTCTAAATGTCCAGACTCTTTCTGGGAGTCCATTCTTTCTAGTTAATTGCAGGTTGCAAATGAATTCTTACTGCGAGTATTCTGAATCTAGGGTAGGGGCCTTGGCTGCTTTTTCCCATCCATTATTCTGCTCAATATGTCAGAAGGTCTGATCGGGAAGAAACCTTTTCAAGTTCTATTGATGCCGTTTTCAATTGACCACGGTGACCTAGCAACATAAGCACTAATTGGCATGGACTGACTGACATTTGGTGTACAGTTTAGATGGGAACGCAAATTCAACATCCATTATAGCCTAGTTTGTCATCCGAGATTACTAACAGCAAGAAATGTTTTAATTGCCTTCAAGTACCTATTCTAACATTACAATTATAAAGCAACAGGTGTAATACATCAAATCATTGTTTGATTTAAAATATTTAGAAAAATGATATAGCCATGATATAGTCTTTAAAGTTGAGAGTGGGTAGGGATACGATTCCGTACAGAATTCACTGTGGTTGTGTTTCGCAGCACGATATATTGTTGTGAAGGAAAAACACAGTATAGTGGAGACAGCTAATCTTTTCTGCCCCCAGTTGAAGAGAGACAGACAGGGGAGAGAGCACGAGCATGGCGTTCCCATTCACTTGCTGCACCATGGAACTGAAAGGGACTTGGTACCTCTGCAAGGAGCCTTGGCCAAGATTTACAGGATTAAACTGGCAGGACTTTAGCCTAGGAGTAGTAATCCTCCCAGGTTTTTCAGTGGTTTGAGTACTAGCTTTTTTCCCCCCTCCATTATTCCTAGAAAGCATCAGACTCTCCAGGAAGAATACACTGCCCAGCCTTAAGGAAAACTACAGGGAATTATCTACATAGCTCCAGCTTTTCATCAACAGTTGCTGCCTCTGCAACTTTGTTAACATGCTTGTGATAAATACCATCAGCAACTGAGGAGCACAGGCCTACATTCACTACGTGCCTGAAATGGGAAAGTTTGACAAATCCCATTTTACACAGATATATATTTGGCACAGAGTTTAAACTTTTTTAAAATAAAAAGTGCTGCTCAGTGAAAAGTCAGGAAGTTTATCCACTGAAACTCGTTAACAGTGACTTCAGGGGCATGATGTTGGGGCATTTTAGCTTTGAGGCCACCTGATAGAGTGAAATTGGTGATTTTCAGTTGGAACCACTATATATCTCAGGAGATAAACCCAGAAGGAAAATAAAAAAGCTGCACTGGGTTTTCTGATCTTAAAGCCAGAAAAGTAGTTTACACTTCTTTGCTGCTCCAAATTCGTGAAACTATGTACTATTTATAAAACCCAAAATTTTAGATTTTCATCTGGTAAACTGAAATCAGGAAATTATAGTCCTTACAGCACTTGACTTTATGTTAATTTAGTGGATGTATTAGTGAGCAATTCAAGTTACCTGAGGGTACAGATTTGTATGCAGCAAAGCTGTGCTTTCGTGGTAACAAAAAATTGTGCCACTTGGACTATCCCATTGGCAAAGTTACTTAGACTATCCAGAGTTATGTCAACTTACCATTGAATAATGTTCATGCATATAGGATAACCATTAAATTAATGCTTATGCATACAGGGTAGCTAAAATACAACTTGAGGAAACTTTATACAGTAAAACACTTCCACGTTCCAACCTCAGTCTCTTTGGAAATCCCTCCTATGAGCAGGTTAAGCAAAAGGATTTGCTTAATCAGAATACACATTTCCATCAGCCAAGAATCCAGGTAGCAAATTTGTAACATCTGAAATACATCAGACCACCAGCACTGATGGCAAAGTGGCAGCTCCCAGGGAAACAACTGGTAAACTGAAAAGCCTCTGGGAAGGGTTCAACAGGTCCAGACATTTTTTCCTGTCCCAAGCCTATGCTTCTGTTTAAAGTTTTGCTTAAAGCTCTATGCTTACCTCTATGGCAACTAACTTGACACCAGCCCTAAGCATCTCTTTGATTTGTGTCCATAATCAAACAGCTTCCAAGAACATGGCAAATTACTTATCCTCACAGAAACTGACAAGTCAATGATGTTAATAAACCAGAGATGTAACAAAGCACAATCAGGGAGGGAACACACTGTAAACATACTACTGTCACTCAGCGTTCTCCAAGCTTCTCTAAAGCTTATTTTCTAGGAAAAGATGATACATCCTCAATTTAAAGTCACCCCAGGGGACACCACTTTCCTCAAGTCTGGGAGCTGAATGGCAAGGTCAATATCACAGCACTAGAAGCAGACTGGACAGGTCAGTAGATTGACACCACCTAGCTGAAAAATGCTCTGAAGTACCTGGGCAGTGCATGGACACTCATATAAATACTAGAAAAAAATAAGTACATCATCTAATGATAGGACTCATATTATAGAGGCAGTTGACTATTAGAATTTTCATTAAAATGTGTGCTTCCACGGAGAATTAAGCAGAACTTCTGGCTGAAGTTATTTATATGTGAACTGAGAAACTGTTCCACTTTGCAAAAATAATCAGCATGGTAAAATAATGGAAGTATAGCATTGTAGAAGTAATTACAAGTTACAGACTTATAGCAGTATTTCACAAAATGATACTATATAAATTGGATCTAATTGAGGTGTGGGAATAGCAACTCCCATGGAGAAAGTAACATTAAAGTTTGTAATGCAAAGTTAGTTTATAATGCAATATTCCACATGGATGTGGCACAGGACATGGGAGCTGAACTTACTTCAATAGGGATCAAAACGGTTGCCATGGAAAGCCCAGCTGCAGAGAACTCAGTAAATTCTCCCAAAGCTCATATTTGCAATGGTTAACATTTGCAAATAAAACCATGGGGAAGAAAAAAAAAAGTTGTGCCTCAGAGCAGAAGCTACAAAGATCTCACATACGCTCTCATTCCTCCATAAATATAAATAAATATAATTATTCATAGCTGTCACAGGTATGCTGGAGTTTATAAAGTCCATCTGACTTAAGGAGGTACCAAGCTATCAATGAAGGAACGCATATATAACATCCCTTATTATCAAACCATGTCACATTCCTTCTATTCGATGGCACTTATTGGACTGCAGATTCCATAATCCTTCCCTGAGTCCCTTCTGCATTTAATTCAGTTCAGTCTTAAGTAGTTAAAGAAACTGTTTTCAGTGGCAACTAATAACTACTGACCTACAGTGACACGGCCCTACAATAGCCTTGTCAGGCCTGAAAAACTTGTACCAAAGAAGCTGATTAGGACTTCAAGAGGTTTGTAGCAAGAATCAATGGCTGGTCTGTACTAATGCTGCGGTTGTGGCACAGAAATGATAAAAGTGGAACACCATTAGTTATGCCTCATTAAGCTCCACAGCCATCCTAAAAAGAAATTTGTTTAGCCTGTCCAAAATCTAATGCAGTTTTAAGCTCTCTGTGTTCAATTTCATAGTATCTCAAAAGCTTCAATAAGATAAAGGCCAAAGAACCAAGAATGGTACCAAAGCACCAACAGTAAAGTTAATTTTGAAGTCTGAGGTTTAACGGAAAGTGTTTTTGCCTTCTTTTTTTCATACAAAGTACTCAAACCTTTTAAAGGATGAACACCACATAGTGCACTCACAAAATATAAATAAATCATAGACATTAATTAACTTTAAAGAACCTGCCATGTAGCATGATTTAAACAAATTTAAACAACAAAGTTCAAAATAAAGAGGAAAAAAAAGTTGTGAAGCCCAGCAAGATGAAATACATACTCCTGGCCACATTTTACAAGATTTCCATCCCTCCTGCCTTACCTCTGTGGTGTCTGCTGAAACAAGGGTGTAGGGCCTCTCCAAGACTCCGGAGGTCTAAGATCTAGAGGGTAAAACAAAATGTTAAAATTAAAAAGAGCAAGTACACTTAAAAGAACTTTACACATGCTCAAGAACCTGCTTTAAGAAGTCAAGATAAAAAAGCTCAAACTGGACATCCCATCAAATACATTTTGTTAGTTACTAGTGCTGATTATGATAGAGCCCTTATATCCGTCAGTGGCAAGCTTAGTATTAATTAATAAAAGGAAATTTTGTTTACTGTGTCAAATAAGCTTCAAATTATTAAAAAAATAGTTTTAATTGCTAGAACTAGCACTGGTTACTGTTTGAACACTTCACAGGTATCTGTTATCTGAAATCTTTAAAAAAGCAAAACTGTGACTGTAACAAGTGAAGACTTCGTAATCTTTAAATTTCTTACATCATCACTAAGCTATATGAAAAATATAGATACATATATACACACAACTTCGTGACCATCACAATACATCATGTTTGTGAGCTACAAAGATGTACTGCTCACAATACGTGCAAGCTTCCCTCTGATTAGGCTAAGTTATTCTCACAAGTGAACTATAAGAACAACCAGAGCACACAAGAAATAAAACAGTTCCACTTCATTCACATTTAAATATATATTTATATTTAGGATATATTTAAAGATAGTAAAAGCGTATTTAAAAGTTAACCTATACAATGATGATAATAATAATAACCATGATCTATTAATGGTCCCTCAGACAAGATAATCAGACTGAATTAAACCTTATTTTGGGTAAAACCTTAGCCAGAGACCTAGCACCGCAGTGAAAAAGACCACCCACTTCTCAATTGTTTCTTCTACCCAAACTAACTCTTTACAAAGTCGTAGCAGTAACAACATTGCTTTAACAGTCCGTGCAATTAAATGGTTGTTGTTCTTCTAAATAAACTGGTCAGTAAACAGGATAAAAGCATCAGCTAATCAATAGCTCCCCAGTCAGCCCACAACACTCAGATTGTGCATCAATCAAAAGCTCCAGTTTCAGTGACACCTTTGATTGTTTTCAATGGTGTTTAAGTGTGACCTAATTTCAACAGCTGGTTCCAGAAGTAGTCTAATGGACATGCTGCAATGGCACAGCAGCACCCTGTTCAACTGCCAATATTCAAGTACACTGAAGCTTTGCAATAATTTGAAAGAAAAGTGGGAGAAAAAAAAAAAAAGCAGAGGCAAAATCTGTGCCTCTCTGTGAGGTTCTGGGTGTACTGTCTGCAGCCTGCAAGGGTCTGGACAGAAACCTCTAAGGGCAGCTCTCGAGTGCACAGGGGGTGCAGCAGCCCCCATGGCAGATAGCACCGTTTTGTCAGGGGAAATAAATTCTGATCCCCAGCAGCTCCACTGCTCCCACCTGGCCCTCCTCTGGGCAGAGCTAATCCAGCCCAGCAATAGCCTGAGCTGCAGAGGGGCACATGCTGCATTTTATTTATTCATTAAACAGTACATATATGCACACATCAACCACTATATACACAGACTTCTATACTGTTACCAATCGATGCTTGTAATCGGGTATAATTGGTTATTTCATACAGTCTGTAACCAGTCTGCAGCATTTCAAGGACTGCAGATGGATGTGTGTCATGTTTATCCTGTTCAGCCTGTGAATTATAAGGACCTGGACACACACAAACAGGCTGTGCCAACACCATGTTTTAGTGATGCTGCATTTGTCTTTGAAGGCAAGATTAGGGCAACACAAGAAAACCTGGGCCCATAATGCTGTTTTTAGCTACTCTGTGGGAAATGAGCAACTAAGACACAATATTAAAGGTTAAAACATTTCCAGAAACCCCCCCACTATATTTCACTGGGAATAACAGTGATGCTTCCTCCCTCTTTCTCCTCTGTGCAGGTTGAGCTAGGTAGGACCCCCAAGTATCCTGACACATTGTCCTGGTTTGAGCCAGGATGAAGCCAATTTTTCTTTTTACTGATTTTTTTTTCCTTCAGTAAGCTCTCTTGTAACTAGCAACAGTGTGTTCTGCTAGGCTGATAAGACAGTGGAATGTTTTTCTAACTACTGAGGCTTCAAGGCTGCACCTGCACTCTGCCAGCTCAGACACTGTGGGGAGATCTGTGACCCCCCCCGTAGGAGGCTGAGTTAGATGGACAGCAAAATTGGCCAAAGATATTCCATTCCATATATCTACGTAAGCTCAGAGGAAGGTCAGAGATCACAGGAGACAACTTCCTTCCTTCTTCTTCTCCCCTTCTCTTCGGTCCATGGCCGGCGTCCGGGGAGGACTCTGTTCATCCATTACCGTCGATCCTCAGGCTTGATCTCTCGTGACCCCCATAACTCTCTGCTCTGTTCCAGCAGCAGCTCCGGGATTCCTCGGGACTCTTCCCAGTTCAGGGAAGTGCTGTGGGAGTTGCTGGGGTGGGGGGAGGCGAGAAGTTTTTGCCCATACCTGAATATATCTGTATATAATTGTATATATTTTCTTGTATGATTCATTAGTGTTTTAATTAAAGCTGTGTAGTTTAGTTTTCAATCCGGCCAAGTCTCTCTCTTTTTCTCTCTCTCCTTCCCTACCTGGGTTGGGGGGAGGGGGGATCGAGAGCATTGTTGTCGGACCTGAGTCAAACTGTGACACACATAGACTAATATCATCTCTCCCTCTCTGACCCTCCCTGCTCAGAACTTCTCATGTTAATGGAAGTTTATTAACACATTTTCCATTCTACTGCCAGAGTCAAAGGGTGCTCCAGTGAGAAACCCAGCAAAATGCTGCTGGTCTTGCCCTGGGGTAGTGTTTTCTGTTCACACCAACCCCTGCTTAAGGACTAGGTGGGAATTTGTGTCCTATTTAATAATCTGAAAAAGGGCCGAGCTCTCCTGGTGTAACCACAGCTTTTTGCAGCACCAGGAAACAGTGTAAGAAAAAGCTTAATGAAATCATCACAGAAACATTTAAAGCCACCTTATTACTATTCATTTGTATGGCTCTGACAGAGAACAATCTTTGAAGGGAAAAAGCTCGGAGCAGTGAATTGCACTTCAAAAAAGTACAAAATTGGAGAAGAAACGACAATTAATATTTTCTTTAGTCTTCAAAACCTAGGCATTTCCTAGAGCTATAAGGCCAAATAAACTGCCTTCTCTAGCAGCTCCTCAAGTAACAATTTATCTAATCAGTGCAGCAATCAAATACGAGATTTTGTGTTTACTGATTGCACTAATCAAAATCACTTTTCAAATGCAGCTAATTGACAAGTTTACAGACTGAAATGGAAGCCATAAATCAGATATCCTGTGCTGCAGAAACCAAATATGCCATTCACAGAGTGCTGTCATACTGCACTTGACTCCCCAAGTTATCAGCACAGACAATTATTCATCAACTGAAAATTGGCACATCCAAGTCAAATCAGAGAACAACAGTAAGGAACACCCCCAGCAGGCTCTTGAGGGATAGATGGCACTTTGGCTGACCGCATTGCCCTTCTAGAGCCTAATTTTACTTCATCATACATATAAAAACATAATGCATAACATGAAAAGTTTCTCCGCATCAAACTCATAAATGTCGGGATTTTAACCATATGAGCGCCAGTTTTTCAGAAATGTGGGGGTTCAGAATGCTTCCCAATCCAATTATGCCACAGCACAGAGCTCCTCTCACAATTAGCTGATGAATGCAACTTTGACACAAGGGGTAAGCCACCTCATTAAGAAAACTCAGCATATGCCTTCCCACTTCCTCTAATTTGACTTTCTAGTTGAAGATAACTGTACAGAGACATTTGTGCTTGAAGTGAAGGGCGTGGTTGCAAAAGGCAAGAAGGGCTGTGCCATCATGCCTAGGAACACCTTCTGGTACTCCAAGACAGAACACAGCCTGGGTGGAGTTGGCCCACATGCTCAATTCTGACCAGAAATTTCCCTGGGAGAAAAAGCACTGTCCATGCAGACTGCTGCTGTTCAACAAGATGATGGCCACCTACTGCAGCCATGTTCAGAGAGCTGCTAACATGCTCTCACCTTCACAGCTCTGCCTGACACTAGACCCACATAAACCATAATTCAGGACACACTGCAGGAGTACAGCCCTATTTGCAGAAGCATCCTTCAGTGTCAATGTCTGAAAAACTGATCACAGGAGAAATTTTGGGCTATGACACTTGAAGGTGTTCTTTTAATAAGAATTTAAGCAAGTCTGACTCTACTTGGTAGAAGAGGAGTTGAGACACAGGTGGTTCACTTGGCATTGATAGTCCCAGGTGGCCTTAGCTGGGTCCTGACGCATCAGTCAGGCAGTAGGAGGCATTTCTGGAACTTCTTCTAGGGAGCAAGCACATCTCTAATGCTCTTTGACCTGTGCTCATCCCATTGACTGGGACACCAACTGTGCTCCCACCTTGGTTAGGTAATGAGGTACCAAAAGAAAGGTGTCTCAACCACTGCTGTAACAAGTTGTAAAGGCTTCGTGTTGCAGTCAGTTTAAATCAGAAGTTAATCAGAGTTTAAGACTAATCTCTTAGGACAGCTTGCTATCTTTAGTAGAAGAGGTGGAGAAAGCAAACAACATTAACTAACAAAGAATACATCTACAGCATGTTGCACTGCTGCCCCCCATGAAAACAGAGTACCAGAAACCAGCTTCTCCACTCCGGGATGAAGAGCCCTGGAGAGCAACAGCAGGCACACAGCTCCTGATGGTTTTTTAAAAAGCTTTTGTAGGATGAACGCCAGTGCACGAGGCACTGCAATGCCACGGTGGCTGGGGGACTGGCAGCCAGACCTGGCACTGCTTCTTGCTGCACCAACAGGAAAGCACAAGATCAACCTCTGCCTCACAAAAAAAGCAGAGTTAAGGACAGTAGCACAACAAAGGAAAATAAAAATAAATAAAAAAACAAGGAAATCATGCTTTCAGATTTGTCAGGCACACCTGGAGAACAGCAACTGTGGATGCCTGAAGCTATCTAAGAGTGAGGAAGGGGCAGGAGGGGAGGAAGAGACACGGGAAAGAAAGCCACCAGACAGCTGTTCTGAGGCCAACAGATGGACTGGGATTTCACGTTCATCAGTGGACTCGAGCCTCCTCATTCTGATGGCACTGGGGCATATTTTCATGTGGAGTGCTTCCTACACAACACAAGGTGCTCAGATACCACAAAGACAAGAGCTTTTTAAGTACTTAATTGGCATGATCATGGTACGTAAGGCAGAGGAAACTGCTTTGAAATCAGTATTTCCTACAAAGCATCATGACTCAAACTTCAGAATACTTGAACAACAGCATAGAGACTGATGGGCTCACAAATACTTTCTCCCTGAAACCACACATCTCTCTTTTTGGAGATAAACACAAAAATGTGATTCCTGTCTGGTAGTTCTGCCTGCCTATTCTCCACAGTCTTTTTAAGATCATATTTGTTGTTTGTTTGAAAAAAACCACAAACACTCTTGTTTTCCTTTAATCAAAGTTAACAACTCCAGATTCACATTCAATCCATCTCTCCCCTTAAAACAATCTAGTCCCTTGCACAAGAAAGCTTCCGCACACACTACTCAGCTATACTGCATTTACTCTGGGATTGAACTGTAAATTTAATTCCGAGTGGCCATCGATATTATTTATTCACTGTTTCATATGCAGTAAAAATGCAAGTCAAGTATAAAAAGGATGACAGCTTCACTGTGCAGTAATCTAGTCTTCTACATGTGACAAAATGCTGAACTACAAATTTTATCGGTCTCAGCTGTTCAAACTTCAAGCACTTGCAGAATTCAATATTGCATGGATTCATCTCAATAGCGATAACATCTTACTTCAAAGCACCTTTTTAGGCAGTTCAGCCAAGTTTCTTCCTGTCTCAGTCCCACAAGCACAGAAATGCATCTCGTGATCACAGGCAAAGAGGCAGGGCATCTTTTCTGGGAGCCTTTTGCATAAGAAATTCCTTCCCAGGATGAAGGATTCTACCTTAGGTCACACAGAGGATTTCTCTTACAGCTTCTGGTGACCCACTTCACCACCAAGTCAACAGTAGTGGCATCCCTGACCTCCTGACTGTGCTCCTTTGCCAGAAGTTGCAACACCTACTGCAGACAGGAGGAGCCAATATGGGATTGTGAATTAGCAGTTTTGGTTCACTCTGGCATCTCAGCAACAACCACAGCTCTTCTGTCAGTCCCACCATTTCTCCAAACCCATCACCATGCCTTGTGCATTAATTGGTTTCTGTGGCCAGCATCCTTTTCTTGTTCTTTCAGACACAAAGCACCAAGTTTCTACTAAGTCTGCTGATGCTGGAGATGTTGAGACTCAGCCACATACTGAATATTTCTAGATAACAGCCACGAGCAACCCTTTAGAAGACAAAGTGCTATTTTTCCTATTATATTTGAATACTGGGCAGGGATCCCACTGAGAGGCAAATAAAAACATTTTAGAACATTTCACTACAGCAATTCCACAAAGGAAGAGCCATAGAGAAAAGCAGCACAAAGTTAATGTAGCTGGATGCTTGAATCCATTTTTATTTGTAATAGTGCAACCAGAACAGCAGTATTTTTCAAACTGTGCAATGCAGAAAGCAGAACCCACTTACTTGACAACAATTTCGGAATCTGCTGCTGCCCACCCAGAAGTGGCCTGGCATATGGGCTCCCGTAAGTTCCAAGAGGTACTGCGTTGGCATACATCCCTGGCATCCCTCTTTCCCTTACTTGACAACAATTTCGGAATCTGCTGCTGCCCACCCAGAAGTGGCCTGGCATATGGGCTCCCGTAAGTTCCAAGAGGTACTGCGTTGGCATACATCCCTGACATCCCCCTTTCCCTTGGCAGCGTATGGCTATTACATGTAAGAAACGGAAAGGAAAAAGAATAGGAAGTTTACATGAATGCTCTCTTACATCCCAGCTGCTACCCAGCCCATTGAACACCCCAGCTCTCTCCAGTGCGTCAGTGGGGATGCATAAAAAGGAAGCAGTGACTTGCTCCCAGAGCAGGGTCCCAGGCACAGCACCGCCAGAGCACAGCTTGAAGAGCTAGCCCAGAAAAAAAGTACCTGGTTACTACAGCAAGCCACAATGAGAAGAAATACAGGTATATTCTGCAAACTGTGGAAGAGTCCAGTCAAACTGAAGAGCTGTCACATTTCCCAAGAAGGGAGAGCTGATGGAGATGCAGGATCTGCACATACTGGTGTGTCAGTGCCAGGCCTTTATTAGTGTAAAATATTTTCTCTTCCTAAACAGACACTTGTGCAGTTGCTCACAGAGTTTACTTTTATTTGCTCTTTTAAAACATTCTTTTTTCTGGCTCTGATAAACTTTTGGTTTCTTGCCTTCCCTAGGAAGGAAAAATCTTTCATTTTATCTGTAATAGATAACTCCAGCTTATTCTCTCATCCTGCATTCAGAAGCACTCTTGTACCACACTGTAGCATCTGAGAAAGTTACTCAGACTTTTGGAGAACAAACAGAAAAATTACTGTGCCAATGCCTGGAAAAGTGACAATCAAATGAATTATATGGTGTAACACCTTTCATTCGAGGGGCTTTAAAATATCTTCATTTTTAAAAGCATAAAAGATACTCTTATCTTCATAACAGTCTTACTTATCACTTGCATGCAATATTTCCACTGTACTTTCTGTACCTCAAGAAAGTCACCACCAAACAAGTAGGAAAAAAACCCAAAGCAAAGAGTGGGAAAGCTAGTTGGAATCATGCAGTAGAATCTTCCCGACATCAAGAAGAATGGAAAGCACTACTGCAAAATTATATCAATACTTAATTTATATATCACATGCTAAAGTTTCCAACACAGAACACCAGCATCTAATACCTGACAGTCCATCCCCACCTGCTATCCTTTTTTCTCCTCTTTAATTAAAAAAACAGTAAATAATTACAGTCATCTTAACAAAGCAGTCAGTAGCAATGCTGCCAGGCTTACCCCAAGGTTCTGAATGCTGACTGATCCAAATGGACTGGTTTTCTGTCTCGGTTAAAGCCAAGCTGCGGTCTCCATGGCCTGCCATCATTGTTGGTTTTTTCCCAATCTCCTGGCTTCAGAACTGGAGCAGGTTTCCTTAATATTAAAAATAGTTCCATAAATATTTATCAGAGCAAATACTCAAAAGTAATGAAAGAAAATGGAATTATTTGAAAACTGAGAACTGATACTTACTTTGCACCAGGTAACACTATCGCCTTGAAAACAAAGTCTTCATCAAATTGTGGATCTTTAAAAGAGATACTAGGAGAAAGTATTTAAGGATTAGGTTTACTTGATAGTTAAGACAAGCAAGATTAAAAAGTAATTGCTGCTTTATTAACAGTGATGTACATAACAGAAAAGATAAGAATTCAATCAATAGCCAGTCCAAAGGAAAGTTTAATGTCTAGAAAACAGTCCTATATATGGTAATGAAAGTATCTTATTGCAGACCCTTGAGTGCAAATCCTCTAGTCAAAGCACTGTTGTGCTCGACGAAGTTCAAAGGCTGCCACAACAGAGACAGGAAGGATATCAGCTTGTTCTGCTGCTTCACCAAAAGTGTACAAAACTTAGAAGTGGGATTTCCTGGGACTGGGAGGTTTTACCCTGAAAGGTGGCTGTGCAGCTGCAGGGCACTCCTGTGGAGGGACACACACCTATTATCAGTGACATCTTGCAGGCTCTGCATTTTGAGCTGTCTAGTATCAGACAAATTACACAGTAATAGAGCAAAAAGGGGCTCAAAGCTTAACTTCTGCTGGTACATTGCATTTAGAGCAATTTGGGTTTGCTCTAGGGAAATTCACCCCCACTCCTAACAATTTCTGTCTCCTAGTGTAAATACCCAGGTCTGGAGTAGGTCCTACCAGGGACATGTTTCAAGTACCCAGCACTGACCTGATTCCTGTCCTCTCACTACCTACCATTTGATAGTGAAGAATGCCTGGGATGCCAAGAATGAGAAAAGCAAACAACTAAGTAGAATAATCTCACTCTTCAAGCTGAAATACATCTGTTTTTCAACACAGAAAATGAATGAGAATGGTCCCTTGAAAAATTCAGCCAAAGTCACAAGAACTGAAGAGCAGAACCATGACTGCTCATACTATCTCAAAAGACAGGAAGAAAAATCCTTGCCATAGAGAAACAGACAGAAGCATGAACAATTCAAACCTCCTGACAGTGGCAGATGGAAAGCCAAAAACTACCTTTAAGTCATCACTCAAAGTAATTAAATCCCCATTTCAGAACATACTTTCTACAATACCCTGACAAGCCACAACGTAGCATTTCTTACTGCCTGTAGATACAGCTGTTACTAGTTGAACTCAGTTACGCCTTCGTGGAGGAAAAAAAATTATGCAGAAAGTTCACAAGTGACTTTCAGCATCTCAAGTATCTTATGTGACTCAAGAAGTGAAAGGTTATCGGCTCAAGTATTACATACCTGATATACTGTGCCAAATTAAGTGAGGATGACATACAACACACTAGATTTACAGAAATTTGCTGTCAAGCACAAGGGTAATTAAAACCTTCTGTTACCACAAGATTTAGCCTTGGAGACTCTGCATTACTTTTTATTCATTATGAAGTTTTTATTATTCTCCCCAAAATCACTTTCAAACAAGGTCAGTATTACTCCTTTACTTAAGAGCACGAAGCCCATATTCTCAGGCATCCTCTGGAATTGCTAGGAATAAAAATGGATAAAAAATCCAAGAGGCAAAAGTCACAATTTGGAGGACTTTCAATAAAATTCCGTCCGTCTCAGAGGTTTGCTCTCATGAATGTTTGGTTTAATTTATAAGACTTGATACAAGCTACCTAGCTCTACAGGTGTGTCCTTGTTGTCGAAACTGAATCAAATGGTGACAAGGTGACAGACCTGGGGTTCTAACTGACAAGCAGCTGAACATGAGCCAGCAGTGTGCCCAGGTGGCCAAGAAAGCCAATGGCATCCTGGCCTGTACTAGAAATGGTGTGGCCAGAAGGAGTAGAGAGGTGATTGTTCCCCTGTACTCAGCACTGGTGAGGCCACACCTGGAGTGTTGCGTCCAGTTTTGGGCACTCCAATTCAAGAGAGATATTGAACTGCTGGAGCAAGGACAGAGGAGGGCAATAAAGCTGGTAAAGGGCCTAGAGAATCAATCAGGTGAAGAATGCTTGAAGGAGCTGGGAATGTTTAGTTTGAGGAAGAGGAGGCTGAGGGGAGACCTCATCAGTCTCTACAACTACCTGAAAGGTCACTGTAGAGAGGTTGGTGCTGGTCTCTTCTCATAGGTAATTAGCAACAGAACAAGAGGGAAGGGCTTCAGGCTGCAACAGGGAAGGTTTAGACTGGACATTTGGAATAGATTTTTTCACAGAAAGTGGTTAGACACTGGAATAGGCTGCCCAGGGAGATGGTTGAGCCACCATCCCTGGGAGTGTTTCAGGGTTGTTTGGATGTGGTGTTCATGGATATGGTTTAGGGGAGAACTTTGTAGAGTAGAGATGATGGTTGGACGCTGTGAACCCAAGGGTCTTTTCCAACCTGAATAGTTCTGTGATTGTAAGGTGTTGCTTTTCACTTACCAAAACCCCATAAATCCCAACAGTGAGCAGAAAAGCAACAGTGATGAGGTATTTCTGAAGGGATAAAACACACTGGGTTTGATGCACTAAGAAATGACTATTTTGGACATCCCTGCAGGGCACATCACCACGCACAATCTGCTAACCACCCTCACTCAAGCCTGCTGTGCTACAGCATAACATCTGGGATGCAATTTCCAAAGAAAACCAGAATAGTTTGAAGTAAAAGCTTCAATTTTTTAAAGAGATGGATTCTGCTGCAAATTCAACAACACAAAACACCAGAATTTTGATTGTTGTATTTTATGCATCACTGCATTAAAACCAAGAGTTTACTTACCTGACTGCAGAATTTTGTGTAAGGTCACGCAGCATTGGAACAGGAGACTCCACTGTCCTGGCAAAGAGAAAATTCTGTCAAAGCCTCACCTAACAACATATCTCGTGCCACTTCCTCTGCTTTTTCTGTTGCTACCACTCCTGCTTCTCTGTCAATTAAGCCTATGACACAAACAAGGGATTTAAAAATTAACTTATCTTTCCCCTAAATCATATTCTGCTATAAGCAATGGAATTCTTATTTCTTAATGTCATAACTTCTGCAGCTGATTTTGTGGATTTTCTAGAGTCTAACAGTGAACTCCCACAATTCAGAAACCTCCCCATTACTGCTAAGGTTCGATTGTGAAAAGGCAAAAGGTTCAGTGGGCAGGTGAAAACCAGAGACACAGATAGACAAACCTGCTTCACTAGGAAAAAAAAAGGCTCTGAAGTAAAAAAAAATAAATATTCAAATTTAGCAGCTGTTTTGCACAGAACTTAAAGACTCTCCTTTCTAACTGAGATTTAATAGGCTGACATGCAGTTTTTCATCTTACCCCTTTCCTTCAGAAAACTTTACCCCTACAATTCAAGGAGTGAAAGAACACGCTCAAGAAAATTACTCTTATCAATCAGAAGCAGATTTGTGTTCACCTGACTGCGCAACTGTCAACACAGAGGTCACAAATTGCACACGTGCTGGCTGAATTTGATCCCAATCTTTCCAGCAAAGCAAGACTTATTTTGAAGTGGCAATATAAATACCTCCTTGTCTTCACAGAATTCCTAACAAACTACTTCTCTAGGTTAAAAAATATACCCATTTCATCTAGGGAAGACAAGGCCAGAAGAGTTTTTTTTTCCTGCACAGTTATTCCCTTCAAGAACAGCTCTGACTTGCTCATATTCTTCACAAGCCATGACAAGAATAGAAAAATGTATATTAGTGAGTGTGACCTAGGATACATTATCTGTACAACAAAATCAGAGTGTTTGTGCATTTAATGCAAATGAGTTACCGAACACCTGCTTATGCCTCTAAGCAAAGTTAGATAAATGAATGCATATCCTACAATGTGAAGATTACACTGATAATTTCTCAAACTAAATGCATTATCTAAAACCAAAAAATATTAGCATTTTTTGTGTGTATAGTCAGTAACAGTACTGAATTTACTGCCACAGCCTAAATAGAAAATGGCAAAATATATCCAATATATCTCCATCTCGATTTTTATTTCATGCAATTAGGATTAGCACATAAAAAGCAGAGGAATTGGTTGTTTTGGGGGTTTTTTTAAACAGCATGAGCTGTTGGAAGTTACATCAGACTACATTCAATTAACATTCATACAAAAGCAGAGGCCAAAACAACATGACCTAACTAAGGCCACCGATCACTGCTACTTTTATTGTATAGGCCCTGTTTACCTACTGAAGTTCCAGCATTACTAAATACATAAAAAACACAGTCTTCCACAGATGACCAAAAAAATATATTAGCAATTAAACACACACATTAGGTTTCTGATGCTACTTCAAAAGCCTAATTCTGAAATAATGTTTAAAAAAGGATGACCAAATAAATATTTTACTTGTTTGGTTTGTTACGTATGCTGGTAATAAAACACACCTACTGTGAAACCCAGAGGAGAGCATGTTTAGCCTCAGAACAAAATGCATTGCATTCTCCAGAGTTTTAGATTTCTCAGTGTGGGCACAAAGGTATTTTTATTTAAAGGCAGGCATAACTGAAGGAAATGTCCTGTAGCATCAAACAACCCATACTACAAACCCATACTCACTGATCTGGGAGAACAGCGTTGTCATTCAGCGTAAGCTTTCCCTGGATTCCATGGCACAGCTCTGGGGGTATATCCACTGGCTATGGAAAAAATAATTTTTCAGCTGAAACACTTTCTTAGACCTCCGTCACCATTTACACAATCCCTTAAGAATTAGTACAACCTACCTCTGTGTTTTTGGTCTTGTACTGTTCTACAATGAAGTCACAAAGTGGATGGTGTTTTCCAACAAAGAGAACATCACCACCAAGGCTATTTCTTCTGCCTAGAAAGGACAAAAAGAATGGCTTAAGAGTTCACAGCAGAGGGAAGGAATGTAGCAGGTCAGCACACTGTCCTGTTGACATCTCCACAAAAGGAAAGCTTCACTGCAAATTAGAAAAAAGCTCTGAACATTCCTAGGGAGTGTTGGAAA